ACGGGATGGGGGGACACGGGATGGGGGGCCACCATGGGAACAGGGGGCTCCAGAGCAGGGCCAGGAGAGCCAGCCCCAGCTCCCCCAGCAGCCCTGCCTCTGAGCACACGGGACACTCACCTTGCCAGCTCGGGGACGGGAACGCCATCACCATCAGCACAGGGAGAATCATCACTCCATCGGCCACCCTGGAGCTGCAGAGAGAGAGGAGAGAGCTCTGTACACTTCCCCTACTGTCTGAAAATGCAAACACCCCAAAAATCGATGTTTAGCAGTGTCTTTCAGCCGTATCTTACACAAAACGCAGCACAACCCAAAGCTGATTGATCTCATTTTTACTGTGTCTTGTTTCCAAGTAATTTCCTTCATTTATAAAATTCATACATTTACTGCAATTTCTTTTTAGCATTAGAAACATCACATGCAACTACACTGCAGATACAGCAGCTTGCTAGTGGGGAAACACGAGCCCTCCCAGAACCAAGCAGGAATGTAACATAGAAGATACTTTCTCTGAACCAGGTATTATAAAATTAAATTACTGTGAACTGAAAAGGTGGTCTGTAAAACTATATTATCTGGGCTTTGAGGGGAAACAGAAAACAACTCTCCCAGAAAAGTTGGAATAGCTTCTGTTAACCAGCAAAACCCACTGCTGGGTGATGAGGAAAACAGTGAGATGTATTTAAAGGAGATGCTCCTCCCTGAAGAGTAATTTCCCAGTTAAAGCTTCTTCTCCAAGGGTTTTCCTTTCAAAGGCCCAGTTCCACTGCCCTGCTGCTGGAAACAGGTAACTGTGCCTTGTGCAGCAGCTCAGGCTGTTTCCAGTGTATAGCAGAGGCTCACACTCCCTCTAAAATGGGAGATAAAAGGGTGAATTTGCCTGTGTATTTCCAATCTTTGCCACCATACTTAGTCCTTATAGGAAAATAACACCTTCACTTTCTACTGTGAAAGAAGGATTATTTAACAGGCTTCTGAAGAGAAACTCTTCTGCAGTTTCTTAAACTGTGCATTTAAACAAGCACTGTGCCCAAGGAGCTGAAATGAGCTGCAGGCAAGGCTCACAGGATTTGACCCAGCTGACAGGGCTGGTGACTGGGAAGGGCTCACCTGTCCTGTGCTGCTCAGCTCCTACAGAGACTCCCTGGCCTAATCACATGCCACAAACTCCACTCAAAAGCAGCAGCAAGTGGTATGTGCAAACTTTAGTTCCTCTCCTTGACAGGGGCACTGAGGCATTACCATGCTCCTCACGTGCAGGTATTTGTCTTCATTTTTCAGATTTAACTCTAGTGAAGCAGATGAAAATTGAAAATAAATCTGATATTGCCCTTTTCCTTTCGGATTTCTTCTGTTGTGCCTCTTCAAATCATTAGCAGGCTGCTTAAGTGCTTGGTGATGAAAGCCAAGCCATTACTTCTGCATTTATTTCCTGACATGGACTTGTTTTGCAGATTATGAGAAACGTTTCAGTAATTGCTTTGTCATCAGTTAAAATGACCCCAAGTATTCAGGCAGTGCTCAGCCCCTCACCTCCCAGAGCAACACCCTCCCTTCCAAGCACCCCTTCCCCAAGGAACCTTCCCTTCCTCGTCCTTGATACATCCCAAGGTTTCCTTAACACGGGGGGAGCGAAGATACAGGGGCACACAACAGCACGGGCACCGGGAAAGCTCTGCCAGTTGCACGTACCTATTTGTTGTCTTTTCGAGCAGTTTGACTTCCAGAGAAATAAATAAATAAATATACATAAGGGTGTTTGTACACACAAGCCCCTGCCCTGTGTTTCTCAGAGGCAGAAGGAGAGAAATCCAACCTGCATCCCCCAAAGAGGTAACCAAACCAAATCAGACTTTTAACAGATTCTGTGCATTTCACAGCACGCACGGTCCTCCCAAAGGAAAAAAGCCAAGTATCCCAATTTAAACCCTGCTTCTACGAAACTTTGTTCCTGCAGCCACTCACTTTCCCCAAAGCCTCCCAGAACATCTTGTCTGCTGTTGCTGAGAGGTGCTGAGCACACTTTCAGCAGCCTGTGTGTCCTCAGCACCAATCCAAACCCCGGCCATGGCCGTGCAGCCCCGTTCGGCTCCGGGGCTTTTGGAAGGCAGCTCACACCCTGCCTGGGTCCGCTGGGCTGGGACTGGAGCAGGGAAGGAGCCTCTGACCTTTGCAAAATACTGATTTTTCTTCAAAAATTATTTGAGAGCATGAGTTCAAAAGTCCTGTTCCCACTGCTTAAAAAGAATTACTTCTTCAAATCAATGAATGCACACACATAAGCACCAAAGTCTGGTTGTTGTGATACCAGCCAGCACGTCCCTTCCAGCTGCTGTTTGTTTAGAGAGAAAGAAAACACACGTTTTAATGTAAGGAGCAAACCATTCTTTAATAAATCACCAGAGCAAGTTGCTATGGACCTAGAGATCCATGAGATATCCAGTTACTGTCTGGTGTTTGAATTTACAAGAACTTTTTCCCAAGGGAAGGATTGGGATTTAATCCAGACAAATAAAGAGAAACTAAAGCAAAAACGTGCAAAATTTATTTTCCTTTCCAAAGGTGGATCTTGGCTGTTTGACGGGAGCTCCCTGCGTGCCCTACAGAACCTCAGCACAGCAGCAGCAGCCACTAGAGGGCATTGGGAACACGGGCAGGGATCCCAGAGCTCCCAACAGGAATCCTGCCTCCCTGCCAGCTCCATACACAGGGATGCAGTGATCCCTGGCATCCACGTGCCCTGTGCCACAGGGACCCCAGCACCAACACTGGATGCTATAGGGCAGAGCTGGGGGCAGGACACAGTGCCTGAACTTCAGCCACATACAGGGAAAAGTGGATCATTTAGGTTTAACTTCCTCCTACAAAAGCACAGTGTCACTGGAAAACCAGAAACCTGCTATAGGTCATGATGGAAAAGTCCCTTCCAAAGTGGCAGCTCCCAGATTCCCAAACAAACCTGCCAAGCAGTGCAGGCAAGGAAGAGATCCTGGCTCCTGGACAGGCCAGCATCTGCTCCAAGGCCAGCTCTGAATTCCAAAGGAGGAATCACTTAACCTGGCTTTGGAAGCCCAAGAGGACAATAAGCCAGTCCTATGGCAGGTGGAATGCCCAGTGAGCACACCCAGCATAACACACAGACACACAACCACTCCACCTACCAGAACCTAGAGAATTCCTACAGTTCCTATTCATATAGTCCCAACACTGAAGAATCCATCCAAAACCCAATGCCTCTTCCACTTCCACAGCCAATATCATTCTCTTTTCTTCCTAAGGAAACTGTTTATCTCCTGCCAAATCATTCCTGTACGGCCCAAAGTAATGCAGGTGAAGGAGGCCATGAGCTGGACAGTCAGGATGGCTGCAAGAACCACAGGGGAGAGAAGAACCAGGAGTTGAGGAGACCCAGAACACCACAGGGACCCCAGCACAGGCTGCTGGGAAATGGCCTTTAGTCCCCGACACCACGAACCCGACACAGAGCACAGACCATGCCAGACAGAGCGACCCAATTAGTGCAGACACTCGAGGCTGCATGTCATCTCCATGGCACACAGACATGGGAACACCAGCCCTGAGAGCAGCTCAGACTTCCCCTGTGAGATCAGAGGCACCCAGATATTGCTGACAGTCCCCGTGGCCACCCGCCAAGAGCCCAAGGGCTGCACATATTTTGCATGTACCTCACCAGATTCCTATCAAAAGAAAACATCCATAACACTGGATAGCAGTTCTGCCATCCACAACAGCCACACACCAGCTGAATTCACCAACAGCTGTGCCTTTAGAAGGAGAAATGTGCATTTAAAAGCAATAATTCACAGCTTGCTCTTTAATTGAAGCTCAGACAAAGGAGCTGCCAGCCCCCAAGCAGCCCCACAAAGGCATTCCTTGCCTCGGAGAGCAGCAACCTTGGGCAGCCCTTTCTTAAGGTCTAAACTGGGTTGCCAGCATTCAGAAGATGGAAGCCAGCCACCACCTCCATTTGGCACTCACCTGCAAGTGCACTAGGCACACATCCATGCACTGCAGCTCCAAAAATGTGCCAAAGTGCCACCCAGAAAGGCCGAGTGCCTTGGATTAAAGTGACCATAAACATAGAGAGAGTCAAGCATGGGATACTGGTTCTCCTGCACTCCTCACCTACAAAGCAGAATCACAGCACTGCTGAGCAAGAATAAAACCAGCAAACTACACAGTGTAAAGTGTCCTGGAAGTTCCTCCTGATGAGGTCAGCAGCTCTGACATGCTCATGAAGAGCCAATCCCTCGGTGCTTGAAAGACACGGATGAGGTAGCAAAGCATGAGTGTCACTTTTAAAAATAACCCTGTTCTTTTTCCCTCCTGGCACATTTAAGTATGGATCCATGTACTGCCCGTGCTGCCAGCCCACAGCTCCAGCTGACACACCAACTGCAGGAACGGCCTGGCATGGGACAACACACGAGTAACACTCACAGTGGCAGAGTGGGGGGACAGACGCACAACAACACAGAAGGACAACACAACCACTTACCCAAGGGAGAAAAAAGTCTTCCCTAGGCAAAGGAGTGAGCCAGAAGCAGCACCAGCCCCTTCTTGAGCAGGGTGGGGAAAGCACACAGCCTCTCCTTTAACAGAGGGAAGGGCAGAGGCTCTCATGCAACCCCTGGAGAACCAGCAGAGCATCTGAAGGCCCAGCATGCACAAAAAGAGACCAAAAGTACCGCCAGCTTCCCCATGTAGGGCAGCTGGGGAGCAGGGGGACTCCTGATCTTATATGTTGGCTGAGGCCAATGGTCTATTCAACCAGAAGTGTCAAGCTGCACACCTGAGTCACAACCACCCCAGGCATCGCTCCAGGCTGGGCAGAGAGACTGGAAAGCTGACGATGGGAAAAGACCTGGGGGTGCTGGTCGACAGCAGCTGAATGTGAACCAGGCATGCCCAGGTGGGGAAGAGGCCAATGGCACCTGGTGTGTACTGGCCACAGGCCCAGGGCAGTGCCATCCCCTGTGCCAGGCACTGCTGAGGCCCCTCAGGGGCTGTGTCCAGTTCTGGGCCCCTCACGGCAAGAAAGAGATGGAGGGGCTGGAGCGTGTGCAGGGAAGGGAACGGAGCTGGGAAGGGGCTGGAGCAGCAGGAGCAGCTGAGGGAGCTGGGGGGGCTCAGCCTGGAGAAAAGGAGGCTCAGGGGGGACCTTCTGTTC